CCCCAAAACCCCAAAACCCCAAAACCCCAAAACCCCAATTTTAAAATAAAAATTTGAATTCAGAGGTTAATTCTAATATGAAAATTCTAACCGCTATCGTGTTAGTAGCACTGCTCTGACTTTCAGTCAGAGCAGAAGTTGAAGTTGCACAAAGCTTTGAAGACGTTGAGAACTTCTTGGAAGAAAACCAAGATGAAACAATAGCTCTTCTGTTCATTGACAGCACTTTGGCTGATACATCAGGCAATGGATTCATTTCAGGTGTTGTTTCTTCGATTACTCACATTTTTAGTGGTGCTGAGGAGCCTGATGCTTCTCATCATCATGTTTCTGAAATAGAAAAGGCCATCTCTGATGATACTGCTCTTCTTCAAATCGACGTGAGTAATGAGAACTTGAGAGAGATCCAAGAATCCTATGATGTCACCACAGTTCCTTATTTAATCGTTACAAAAAGAGGAATCGTTGTTCTAAAAGAAGTTCCAACTCATGAGACTCATGATAAGATTATCCAAGTTTTGAATATAAGCAGTGATGCAATCCATGAAGAGAATGCTCCAACAAGTTCTGAAGAGAATGCTGAAAAAGCATCTGCCTCGGTAGAGGTAGCTCATGAATCTGAATCAGTCTCAGAAGAAAATGCTGCTATCAGTAATGAAGCTCCTGAAGTTGAAGAAGTTGTTACACCTGCAGTTGAAGAAGTTAGTTCCTCAGTCTCAGAAGTTACTTACGAAGAAGTCCCTCTTGTTGTTGAGCCTGCCTCTGAACAGTCTGTAATCATTGAAGAACCTAAAATCTTATCTCAGTCAAGACCTGAAGAATTTGAGGAAGTAGCTCCAGAAGAATTTGATGATGATCTTATCATTCTTAATCTAGACGATCTTTCTACCCCTCCTAAACCCTCTCAAGTAGGACCATCAAAAATATCTGAGCCAGGAAAGATCTACACTAATGATGTTAAGCAAGATGACATTTCTGCAATTCCAAGAAATTTTGAACTTCCTCCCAAACCAATTAAAGTCGGATCTAATTCTCCTTCACAAATTCCTCCACCTGTTATCAGAGTTGAGCCAGCTCCAGTCATCAAAGCTCAACCTGCTCTAGCCTCAGAACCAATTCCAGTTGTTAAAGTTCAGCCTGTATCTATTCCAGAGCCAGCTCCAGTCGTTACAGTCCAGCCTGAATTAGAAGAAGCTCCAAAGATTGAGCTTAAGGTTCAGCCTAGGTCTGATGAAATTTCAAAAATTCAAATTCAAACGGACTCTGAATCAAAAGAAGAAATTCAAATTAAGCCTGAACCAGTTGTTGTACCTGAAATCACACTTGCTCCGGGAGAGAAGCCAGTTGCTCCTTCAGTAGTGGCTCCTAAACTCAAAGTGAAACTACCTGAATCATCAAAGACAGTTGGAGTGTTTGATAAGAATTACACTCAAGCTCCACAGTAAGTATTACAATATCTTAGCTTTTTCTTTCTGAGAAGAAATTCTTATCATAATTTAGGGTTCCTGAAAAGTCAGCCTCTGAACAGTCAATGAGAGTCGTAATGCATAAGCCAGCAGCCTCAGTAGCTCCTCAGATTGCATCCCAGGAGACCCCAAAGGTGCAGGTTCAGAAAAGGCAACAAGTTGTCGAGAAGCCTGCCGAAGAAGCTCCAGAACATCACGACCAAGATGATAGGACTAAATATGTACATCACCATTGCCACAATAGAGATGGATACAATGATTGTCAAGCTCTCGATTGGAGGGATAGTGATGGATATATCTCTGAATTAGAAGATTATGAAATTCCTGAGCAATGGTGGAAAGACGGATACACGCCTATAAACACTCGAAACCCAGCTGATGAATTAACTAAATCAACAAGGCAAAAATGAGAGATCCCTCATCCTCCAAAGGATGTTGTTCTAGAGCCTCCAAGAAAGGTGTTACAAAAGCCTCAACCTGCTGTGAAAGATACCCCAAGGCATCAAATAATCAATCCTGTTCCAAGACCAGAAAGAAAAGTCCAGCTTCCAAGACCCCAGATTACCCCTCCTCCATCCAAAATCCACCCAACCGTTCGCCCAGAAGTAGTGTGTCAAGCTCCTAAAATCCCTACTCCTACCCCACCTCAAAAAACACCCAAACCACCCCTAAACGCTCCTCTTCCATCACTAAACACAACTCAGCCTGCAGTCAAAGTACGCTTATTAAACTTCCATTAATCTCTAATTCACCTATAAAACTCATACTAAATTCTAGATTTTAAGCACAGAATTATTAAGTCATACTGGAATAGGTAAGTATATTAGTCTACACAGAAGTTTTTATTAAGGGGTTTTAGTCAGTTTGGTTTTATTACTGTTGGGTTTATGGTGAGTGGGGGTGAAGTTTAAGAGGGCATTGTTTTTTGGTTAGTGGAATTGGAGGGGGATTAGAACGGTTTGAGATGTTGTAATTGAGGTTGAGAAGTCGAGTGGGGGATTTTGGAGAGTTGGAGATAGTTTTTAAGAGGTTAAGGAAGGTATTTTACAGTGTTTGTATAATTTTGTTGGTATGGTAGATAAACTGAAATTTTATGTTTAGTAAACTGATTTATGTTTTTCGTTCTGAATAGCTCCATTTTCAGCAATTCCAAATTCTAAATCTGTTTTGACTCCTCCTAAATCTGTTCGTTCTTCGGTTAGACCTCCTCCAGTCAGACCTATTGCTACACCAATCAAGCCATCTCCTACGCTAGTTAGACCAGTTTCAATGCCTGATTCATTAAAAATTTCAGAGAGAAAATACGGAATGACTCCAAGAATGATCCCAGAATTCTTTCAAAGAAGGCCTTCTCTTCTTCAGACTCCTGCTTTCAGAGCTCCTAAAAATATTCCTGCTGTTTTGTCAAAAGAATCTTTCAATAAGACTTTCACAAAGCCTTCGGAAAATATCTCTGTGAAGCCTACTCCAAAGCCAATTAAAAAACCTGCTCCAAATCTACCCAATAAGACTGTCATCCCCATTCCCAAAGCTCCTTCTCCACCAGCTAAAATCTCTACGAATACTACTATTTCAAAACCTTCAATTGCAATGAAGCCAACTAATGCTACAAGCCAACAAAGCCACAGTAAAATTTTGAACAGAAAGAATTCCCAGCCAAAATTAGATACTAAAGCGAAGAAGAAGCCAGTTCAATTAAAGCATGATCTTAGCCATGTGAAACCAGTACAACTCAAGGATGGACTTAATATCACTAGAGTTGAAAGTTCAATGAAACACAGCTCTGTCAACCCAGTTAGGATCCCCCAAGAGATCGTTGCTAGAACTTCCCCAGTAGCTGCGATTAATACCCTCAGACAGAAAGAAGCATATAAACCAGCTATGTTCCCAAGATATGTATCACCCTCTAAAGTAGTTGAACCTACAAAATATGAAGAGATTGTGTTCCCTAGATATATTTCTCCTTCTAAAGTGAATGAGACTTCAGAGCCTCAAGAAATAGTTTTCCCAAGATATGTCTCTCCCTCCCAGAAAATAGAAGAAATGTCAGAAGCTCAAGAAGTTGTTTTCCCAAGATATATCTCTCCTTCAAGAGTAATAGAAGTTGAAGAAGCTCCAAAAGAGATTGAAAAAATCGACGAATCAGCTTTAAGAGGAATGCCTGAACCATCATTCTTCAGAAGACCAGGCTTTTTAGGTCCAAGACCTCCACCTTCTTTCTTCAGATCACCAGCAAAGTCAGTTGAAAAGATTCAGCCTGAACCTATCGTGATCGAAACTCCAACAGTCTCTTTCTCTCCTATTGATTTTGAAGAATCTGAACCAGAAATTATTGAGGAAAGAGTTTTTGCTAATGCCCCTATATTCCCAAGATACGTGTCTAAATCAACCGAAATTGCTGAGATCGAAGAGCCAGTTAAGACAAAAGAAGTTATTTTTGGAAGAAACAGACCAAATTTCTTAGTAGATCCATCTTTCTATAGAAGACCTATCCCAAATGGTAGAAGACCAGCTCCATTTTGTGCTCAAGGGCCAGCCAAATTTGTTGGAAACATTAGACCTGATCCAAGAATGATCGATGAGTCAACAGTTTCCTTTTTACCAGTAGATTTTGCAGAAGAGATTGAACAAGTAATTATTGAAGAAAGGGTCTTCCCTCCACCTCCTGTATTCCCAAGATATGTTCCAAAGAAAACAATTGATCCTGAAAATGATGATTCTGCCCAAGAAAATTCTAATGCTGAAGTAAACTCTGGGGGTGTAGCAGAGAACCAAAACCAAGACCTAAGCAATGCCGCACCTAAAGCTATGATTGTAATCGAAGAAACCCCTGAATCCACAATCAAGTCTGATTACGGCAGAAGGACACCTTTCGGTAAAGCTCCAAGGTATGTTCCAGTAGAGCCAGTCAAGATTGTGAATGAAGCTGAAGCAATCATTGGAACATCAGAGCCTTCTGAAATTGCAAGCGAAACTCCAGAAGAGGTGTCTCAGCAATTTATTAAACAAAGCTTCATTATTCCAGATTTGCTTCCAAGTGAGCAAGTTGAGATAATTGAAAAGCCACTATTCGAAGAAGTTCCTCCAGTGCAATATGAAGAAATTGAGTTTGAAATAGAAGAATCAGTATATGGAGCAAATAGATTCACGGCAATGCCACAATTGTTAAGAAATAGAGCTCCAAATAGTAGATATCTAAGACGCACAACTCCAATGAACAGCAAACCTAGACCTTATATTAGACAGCAGCTTGCCGATCCATCAGTCAAAAAAGTTGAACAAGCAATAGAAACACCATTTGAAGAAGCCACAGATATAACAGTTATGGAATCTGCTTTGAGGCCATTACCTACTGAGGTTATTGAAGAAGAAGTTATTTCTGAGACATCTATTCCATTAATTCCAAGAAAGATCCAATTCTCAGAGATTAGAAATCCAAAGCCAATCTTATCCTCATTCGTTCCTAATATCATTGAAACCGAAGTTACTGTTACTAAGCCAGTTGAAATTCCATATATTCCAAGAAAGATCGATATCCCTCAGAGCAGGATTCCTCAGCCTATAGCTAAAGTAGTCACTGAAGTTGTGGAAGAGCCTGAGGTCATTCTTCCAGAGCCAGTTTATACTGAGATTGATCGAAGAGAAGAGATTGTTCCATCAAAGCAAATGCAAATTATCCCTAGAGCGATCCAGAACTCGCTTCTCAGAGCTGCAAGACCATTGCTTCCAAGACAATCTGTGGTTATTGAGGAGGCAAATGCTTTTACTCCTGAAATCATTGAAGAAGGTATCATTGCACCAGGAACAGCAGACATTCCGTTTGTTCCAAGAAAGATAGAGATTTCAAGAGCTAGAAATCCTGTAATTGAAACGATTGTTGATGAGCCAGAATTTGTAATTCCTGAGCCTATCAATACAGAAGAGTATGTTGAAGTAATTCCAGAGGTTCAAGAACTTTCAGTTGAGACAGTGATTGAGGAAATAAATCTTAATCCTTCATCATACCCATTTAACTCTTTTGTCCGTCCAAGAGCCTCTCAAGTTCCCAGAAGGCCATTTAGAGCTCCAATGGAATTCAGGAATGCTCGAGGTCCATATGTTAGACAAGTAGTTCAGCCAGAAATTAGGGAGCCAGGTATTGAATCAGTCTTGGTAGACTCTCCTCCAATGATGGTTGAAGCTCCTTTAATCTCTGTGGATAATGTTGCTCCAAAGGGATCATTTACAAGCAGTAAAATTGAGGTAGTGACTGATACCCCTGCCCCAGAAACCCCCCAAGACTCACTCAAACAAAACCTTAGCCACTAATCTCCCTTCCAAAATTAACCAATTCAATTAACCCACCACAATCAGGGGTTTTGGGGTTTTGGGGTTTTGGGGTTTTGGGGTTTTGGGGTTTTGGGG